TCCACCCCACATCTGCTTCCACCATCACAACATAGTGCTGCTGCTGCCAAAGCTTCTTTGTCTGCTGCATTGCTTGTTTGGTGCCCGTTCAGTGGCCACCGGTTGGTGGTAGCCAGGGACTCCAGTGGGCAATGACTGTGTTGGGAGGGCGAGGAGGAGGTTGTCATGGATCTGGGTGGAGACGGAGCAGCCACTGGAGTGGTGATGGGCCCGGGGAGGTATGGCAGCAGGGCAGAATGTGCCAACATTGGAAAAGAGAAGGTAGACACATAATAGCTATTCCCTTTTCTTGTTTTTCCCCTGCTTAAAGGTGCCAGGCAACCATGTCAGTCTGCCCAAGGGTTTGTTGGTGCTGTTATTCAATGCCAGGTTGGTATGTAATAAAACCACCTTCATCCATGATTTGATTCTGGCTGAAGGGGGCTGTCCTGGCATGTATTGGTTAAACCTTGATGGGAGCAGAGGGAGGGGTCTTGATCTAGCATAAACAGAACCTGGAGGGCTGGTGGATGCTATTAATCTTCACATATATGATCTTTCTGTCCTCATGGGTGGCAGCCTGGAGTGTTTGTACTGTGTGTTGGGCTCTCAAGAGAGATTAGGGATTCTGTTAACATACTGACTATCACTTTATTGTTCTTTCTACCTGAGTTGGTGGAGGTGGTCTCAGACTTGGTGCTGAAGATGCCAAGGATGCTAGTCCTGGGGGACTTCAATTTCCATACCAAGTCTGCCTTATCCAGGGCAAGTGAGGATTTTGTGGCCTCCATGACAACCATGGGACTGTCTCAATGTGTTATTGGCCCATCACATGAGAAGGGTCAAACTCTGGACCTGGCCTTCTCAATGGGGACAGGGGGAGGGTGGTTCTGATATGGAGGGGCTAACATCTACCCCTTTGTCATAGTAGGACCATTATCTGGTCAAGTTTAGATTCTCTTCACCTCTTCTCTGCAAGGGTGGGGGACTTATTATGTTCAATCCAGATGAATTCCAGAGAGCTTTGGGAGATTATCCTACTGATATGGTAGGTCCTCCTGATGAGGCCCAAGTCACCCTTTGGAATACGGAGATGACTTGAGCAGTTGATGCTATTGTGCCAAAGTGTCCTCTCCCTAATAGCAGAGCCTGCTCAGCATCTTGGTATACTGCTGAATTGCAGGTGATGAAGCAAGTGGGGAGATAGAAAGGATTGCAGTGTGACAGCAACAAATAGCTGTAATATTGACCCACAAACCCTGGGAACCTATTCAGTAGTGGAGAAATTAAATCAGCATGAATGCAACTGTAGAAAATAAAATTGAACAGAACATGGCATGTGGTGTCACTTTGCCCTGTGCTACAAGAGCATAACCGCTCTGCAAACGCTGTCTTTTTAGAACAGCACTCTAGGACTGCCAAAGGAAATGCCCTACAGTGGGTTAATGAGAACATCCTTCTATATTTGGGAACAAACAGCTACCTTAGCCTGATTGTTGAGATGCAGCTCAACATATAAACGACCCACACATTCACGAGCAATAAAACTAAAGTCTTTTATTGCTACTTATCTACAAGATTTACAACTCTACAGATAAGCTCTACTGTTGAGGTCTTTGCAATGCAGATGCTAATCCTTTAGTGACATCTCTCCCCAAGCCCATGTGGGACTAGCTATCTTGGCCCCACCTTTCCTCTCTAGGGCATAACAAGGCTTGCCTTTGTTCTCACCTCCTCAGAATTCTCCAATTGGTTGCTAGGGAAAAGTCTATCATGCCCCCTGTGTCTCCTGTGTTGTGCTCAGGAAGTTCAGAGTCAGGAGGGGGTGGGGCAGTCTGCTCAAACTCTCTCTGAGCAGAACTCGTAGTGCCTTTTCCCTCTGAGCTCTCTTGCTTTGATGTAGGCTCGGGTGTTTGCTCAATGGGTGGAGGGTCAGGATGAGGTACAGCTATCTGCTCAGCCACCCCCAAGCTAGGTTGTGGGGTTGACATTTGGGTACAGGGTCCCAAGCACAAGACCTCCTTGTGAGGTGCTGTCTCTGTCGGGGCTTCAGGCACGACACTGCTCAAAGCCTATACTGAACAAACCTAATGGTGAGACTCCCAAAGTAGCAAGTTTCAACCCAATTGACTTTGTCCAGCTAGATTTGGAGTCATCCTGGAGGATTCAAGAGGCAAGGCCAGCTTGAAGGAAGAGCAATGTAAGCCAACATGAGAGGATGGTTACTCACACACTGGCCTCAATTCTAACTTTAGTGGGTGAAAATTACTTTTATTAAAATGATTTGAAAGAGTTTGAAATGCTGTTTTAAATGAAAGGAGAAATGGAAAGTATATATTAAAAAATGTCAGGATGTGAAATAAGTTTACAACCACTTAACAACTTAGGTGTAAAAGTGATAGGAAAAAAATGACACAGAGTTTCAAGATAATAATGAAACAACCTGCATAAAGAAACTGAAGGACTTACAGATATGGCTGAAGTTAAACGTTTCATGGCTGGGAAGAATCTTCATCATAAAAATGAAGGTATAACCTAAATTTAACTTCCTGTTTCTCATGTTCCTAACGTCAGTACAGGGGGGAAACTTACAAGATTGGCAAAAACAATGGAATATTTATATTTGGAATGGAAAAAATAAACAAACAAGGATTCTATTTAAAGTACTACAAGCTGAAGGAAAGAGAAAAAGAATTCACCCTCCAATCTCTCCTGCAATGTTCACAACAGAAGCAGACTGTGGAAAACATTCTAGGAAAAACAATGATCTTATCTCACAAAGAGACATCATGGAACAACAGGGGTGAATGAAGTCATGGCAAGAACTAAAAGATGAAGGAAAAACCAGAGAATGTCTCCTTTATGATCAGCTAGCCTCACAATTTAAAAAGCAAATTCAAATTGGTAAGGGCATAATAAGCAATCTGATGTATTTTGAATTTATTAACAAAAATTGAACAAAGTACCTCCTAGGACATATTTATCAACATCTGCTTCAGTGTGATAATGAGACTCAACTAGGCAAAATATACATGAAGACAGGGACACAGCATCTTGGAGAAGAAATATTGTCCTTCCCACCAATGGGAAGTCTTATGGATGTAAAATTGACTGTATCCCAAACACTAAGAGAGAATTGGTAGATGCATTTCCGATGGTATTTCACTCTGAATGATATACAGCAAATGGAGAAGAACTATAATGAAAAATGTTGGAAACACAAAGTGATATATGGTAGACATGTGACAGATTTTTTTTAAAAATGGAAACAGATACAAGTGGACATGCAGAAAATTCTCAAAATTTCTTTCCAATTAATGCCAAGAATAAGTTCCTGAGCACTGGCCCAAGACGATACTAAAAGTTTGGACAGGCTTATCCAAATGTATGGTAAGAGCAGCAAGTGAGAATTGCCTCAAAGTGGAAAGCTGAAGACTGCCCAGCTGCTGAAAATTGGATAAACAAGCTAGCTGAGCATGCAGAATGGGGTAGCTAGCTAATGATGTCCACAGGTGACTAGTAAAAGAATTTACCCAAGGCTTACTATGAAAAAATAATGGTGGAAGAAAATATAGGTTTTGCACATATTTCTGATTACTATTCTTTACCAAAGCAATCTCTTGATCTATACTGAACTTAAAAGACTGGACACATTGAGAGTTGAGAATTGAAAGGTTTGTATGGGAAAGAGGTTGATAGATATTTTTGTTTACTGTGAAATTGCATCAATGAGGAGTGGCATGCTGAAACTCTTCGGTGATCCTTGGCATCTTACAGTGATGGTTCCTGAGCTGGTGGTGGTAGATCAAAGAAACACTAGTGGAGGCAAGGTGGGAAGTTAATGAAAGCATCAAGTCATTACAGCCACTATTGAGAAAGAGACATCTACATTTTGGATCATTATGAAAGGGAGCAAAATATAACCACCAATATCATGACTTGAGGAGATGTTGCTAAATCTCTGCACTGACCTTTGCTTCTGTCTTCCTATATAGTCTTTTGTGCTTTATATTGTTCTTTCTGAAAATAAAACAAGATTTTGGAAATGTTGGTGGAAAAAAACAGGGATCAAATGTAAGTGTGCAGGTAAAATAGCATTGAACCAAATAGTTGTACTAAGTAGCAATAGCATCAAGAGGTTTTTTTTAAAAAATGTAGAATGGTGAAAAAGGTGGGAGATAAAATAGACTGTCATCCATGACTAATTCCCCATCTCCTGACAAACATAACACTCATGCTTCAAAATGGATTCCTTGCACAAGATAGTTCTGCTGATTCCATCGATGAAGGCTTTACCCAGCCTGAAGGGAGAGGGTCTGGATGTCACCTCTGCCTGAAGACCATCTCCTTTGCTAAAACAATGCATTGCATTATCATTGGACAGTGTTGTGGTTGGTAGTAGATGGCTATGCACGTTGTTTAGCCCTAAAGCCAATGTTGATGGGGTTTGCTAAGCAAACTGTTGGACTGCATCTTGAGTATCATACATTCAAACAGATACCCTAAAGCAGAACCAACAGTTTCCCTGAAATTGGGAGACATTCTCCTAATTTCAGTGGACAACCTTCTAAGGCTTTCTGTCAGGAGGATTGTCTTAAATACTGCTCTGCTGCAGGAGACTGGTTCATGTATACAGGGTGCTTATGGGTCTGTCATTAACTGTTTTTTGTTTTTTTAGGGGTTTTTTTTTTGCTTTCTGAAGAAAATTGTTTTCAGCAAAGACAATATAAGTACAGCAGCAATTGACCTTCTTCAAGTGAGACCCTCAAGAAAATTATTGATTAGAATGTGAGGGACCATTTTCTGTCGACCTACATGACATTCCAAAAAAATCCAGGCCATGAATTTCAGTGAAGCTTTGAATAAAGTAAGATGCAACTGGAAAACTTTATGGATCACATGATGAGATCATACAGACAAATTGTCTGTACAAACCTGTCCTGTGGCAAAACACACACACACACAAATGACAGAACAGATGGATTGCACACTGCAGCGAAATGTGCATTTGGGTAAAATTTTCAAGCTGTTCTCCTTATTAGATGTTCCTTCTTGTTCAACTCGGGTTGCAGCAACATGATGTAACATTTGGGGAAGAAGATGCAAGCAAGCAGTCCAAAACTGGAGGCTAAGATGGAAAAGATCTCCACAGTTACCAAGTACTTTCCTTTGGTGCTCAAGTAGGAAGGCACAAAGGATAACCAGACACTCCAGAAGATCAACATGCTGAATGTGATGAACTTGGCCTCATTGAAACTGTCCGGGAGCTTTCGGGCAAGAAAAGCCACCACAAAGCTGACACTGGCCAGGAAGCCCAGATAGCCCAGGACACAGTAAAACATCGTTAAGGATCCCTCATTACACTCCAGAATTATTTCTTCAGCCACTGAATGAAGATCAATATCTGGAAAAGGAGAAGCAGTTGTCAGCCAGGCAATACAGATCCCTGCCTGAATGAGGCAGCAGAAAAGGAGGAGGGTGCTAGCTAGTCCCTTCCCCATCCACTTCCTAATCTTGCTTCCAGGTTTGGTGGCTCTGAAGGCCAAGACCACCATGACTGTCTTGGTCAACACGCAGGAAACAGCCAAGGAGAAGATGATGCCAAAAGCAGCTTGTCGGATTAGGCATGTCAACCTGTGCGGCTGGCCAATGAAGAGCAGTGTACACAGAAAGCAGAGCAGCAGGGAGGTGAGGAAAGAGTAGGTGAGGTGCCGGTTGTTGGCTTTGATGATGGGCGTCTCGTGATGCATCAGAAATATTCCAAGCACCAGAGTCGTGATCAAGCAGAAAAGGATAGCAAAACCAGTCAAAATTATGCCCAAAGGTTCTTCATAAGAAAAGAAGTTCACTGACTTGGGAATACAGTAATTCTGGTGCTTGCTTGGGTACTTTGCCTCTTCACATGAATGACAGTAATCCAAATCTGAAGAAAAATGAATATATACATATTCTCCTTCATGCTACAGGTCTCACCAACAGGCCACATCAATTTCTAAGATTTAATATTTTTTAGTCAAAGTAGAGAATTCATTAATTGCATTGTATCCACATTTTTCAACTCTCATGAATTTGCCATTCCAAATATGAAGAAATCTCTCACTGATCAATTCAAAGGAAGTTCCCCCCTCCCCATAGGCATGATCCAAATTCAGTAGCTGTTCCCAGCATGAAGAGGACCATGCTTTATCGGTCTGCTATAAACTGTTGCAGGTGAAGAGCCTCTCAATGGATGGGGTACTGGGAGTGCAAATTCAGCCCTTGCTTGACTGAATGCAGTGATTTCAGAGCTCAAGTTTCATGAACTAAAACCTCAATGCTATGAGCCTGGATGGATGGATGGATGGATATGTTCCTCTCTTTCATTTCTTCATTATCAACATGGCATTATCAAAACTGAGGTTAAAAAAAAAACCTCTCACCCAAGCTGGAGTACTGTGTTCAATTCTCAGCCCAAGTTACATGAGGGTGTAGCCATGTTGGAATCAATACAGCAAAGGCCACTAGAAGGGTGGCTGGTTTTCAGGGTAAGCCATATGAGGAGAGACTGAAACAACTGTGACTTTTCAGCCTTGAGAGGAGAAGACTTAGAGGGGACCTCTTAGCATTGCAATAGAACAAAACTCAGGGAACCAAGATTTATGGTAGATGCCAGGAAAGACTTCCTGATGGTTAGAGCCCCTAGGGTATGGAATGAGCTTCCATGGGAAGTGGTTGAAGTCCCAACATTGAGGGTGTTAAAAAATAGGCTGGAGATGTACATGGTGGGAATGTTGTGAGCAGAGCCAGCTGGAGCCAGGGGTCAGAATAGATGGCCAAGGAGACCCCTGAGTCACTCTGTGTCTCTGCTTCTATGCTTCTGTACATAGCCAAGAAAAATCAGAGAAATGCCAAAGGAGGCAATACAGAGCACATAAGAGTAAAAGCTTCCCATGCATATCTCACCTCTTCAGCAGCACCAGAAAGAATGAAGAGACTGGGTCAAAGCTGAAAGAACACTCACTTGCAGATGTATCTAGTGGTGTAAGGAAAATCCATTGTTGTAAAGATCTATACTCCATAGGAACCTGGAATGTAAGATCGATGAATAAAGGCAAGCTGCACTTGCTCCAGTAAGAGATGACAAGACTGAACATCAACATCTTAGGAATCAACAAACTAAAATGGACAGGAATGGGTGAATTTAATTCAGATGAAGATCAGGTATACTACTGTGGGCAAGAATCCCTCAGAAGAAATGGAGTAGTTTTCACAGTCAATAAAAGAGTAGGAAAAGCAGTACTGGAATACAATCTCCAAAATGACAGAATAATCACAGTTCGAATCCAAGGCAAACCAGTCAACATCACAGTAGTCTATGCCCCAGCCACTGGTGCTGAAGAGGCTGCAGTTGACTGGTTCTATGAAGGCCTACACCACCTTCTAGAATTAACACCAAAAAAATGATGCCCTTATCATCATGGGCAAATGGAACGCTAAAGTAGGAAGCCAAAAGATAACTCAAATAACAGGCAAGTTTGGCCTTGGAGTACAGAATTTTGTCAAGAGAAAACCCTAGTCATAGAAAACACTCTTTTCCAACAACCCAAGAGATGACTGTACACATGGAAATCACAAGATGGTCAACACAGAAATCAGATTTATATGTGTTCTGCAGCCAAAGATGGAGAAGCTTTATACAGTCAGTAAAAACAGGACCAGGAGCTGACTGTGACTCAGATCTTGAGCTTCTTTTTGCAAAATTTAGACTCAAATTGAAGAAAGTAGGGAAGAACACTAGGCCACTCAGGTATGACCTAAACCATTTTCCTGATGAATATACAGTAGAGGTGACAAATAGATTTAAGGAATTAGATCTGATAGACAGAGCGCGTGAAGAACTATGGACGGAAGTTCACAACATTGTACAAGAGGTAGGAACTAAAACCGTCCCAAAGAAAAAAACATGCAAGAAAGCAAAATGGCTGTCTGAGGAAGCTTCACAAATAGTTGAGGAAAGAAAGGAAGCAATAGGCAAGGGAGAAAGGGAAAGATACACCCAATTGAATGCAGAATTCCAAAGAATAGCTTGAAGAGCTAAGAATATCTTCTAAAATGGACAGTGTAAAGAAATAGAAGAAAACAATAGAATAGGGAGGACCAGAGATTTCTTCAAGAAAAGTGGGGATATGAAGGGAATGTTTCATGTAAAGATGGGCATGATAAAGGACCAAAATGGCAGGGACCTAAACAAGACAGAAGAGATTAAGAAGAGGTGGCAAGATTACACAGATTACAAAGAAAGAGCTTAACTTGATACCCATGATGGAGTGGTCGCTGACTTTGAGCCAGACAACCTGGAATGTGAAGTCAAATGGGCCTTAGGAAGTCTGAGCATCAACAAAGCTAGTGGAGCAGACAGTATTCCAGCTGAGCTATTCAAAATCCTAAAAGACGATGCAGTAAAAGTGCCACACTCAATATGCCAGCAAATTTCGAAAACTCAACAGTGGCCACACGATTGGAAAAGGTCAGTTTACATTCCAATCCCAAAAAAAGGCAATGCCAAAGAATGTTCAAACTAGTGCAACATTGCACTCATTTCACATGCTAGCAAAGTTATCCGCAAAATTCTACAAGCTAGGTTCCATCAGTATGTGGACAGTGAACCACCAGAAGTACAGGCAGGATTTCGAAGAGGCAGAGGAACTAGAGGACAAACTACCAACATACACTGGATCATGGAGAAAGCTAGGGAGTTCCACTTCTGCTTCATTGACTATGCTAAAGCCTTTGATTATGTGGATCACAACAAATTGTGGCAAGTTTTAGAGATGGGAGTACCAGACCATCTTATTTGTCTCTTGAGAAACCTATATGCTGTCAAGAAGCAACAGTGAGAACTGGACATGGAACCACTGATTGGTTCAAAATTGAGAAAGGAGTTCGGCAAGGCTGTATACTGTCACCCTGCCTAGCCTATTTAACTTATATGCAGAGCACATAAAGAGAAAGGCAGGGCTAGATGAATCACAAATTAGATTTAAGATAGCTGGGAGAAATATCAACAATCTTCAATGATAGAGTGGCAGATGATACCACTCTAATGGCAGAAATTGAAGAGGAATTAAAGAGCCTCTTAATGCGGGTGAAAGAGGAGAGCACAAAAGTTGGCTTGAAACTCAACATTAAATCATACAGATTTCTAAAGTCCACACTTTCTGGAGTTTTTTTCTGCCCTCTTCATTGTATCTTGACATTCCGATCTTGTTCCGGCAGTCAAAACCTTCAGGAGAACCTGAGTTTTCTGAACCCTATCCTTACCCCGGATTTCTGGATAAGAGATTTCATAAGCAATTAATAGGCTACGAAAAGATAAAACATCTGGACCAGATATTCTCTCTGCCATGTATTATAAGTGTCTAGAGGAAGAATTACTGCTACCAGTACAAAAAGTATTGAATGAAATTAATGATGACCACAGCAAGAAGATTATGTAAATTTTATAATATATAAATGTAATGAATGAAATAAAAGTTGAGAGTTCATTACCTACATCATAGCAAGAAGCTCAATATATCATTGATACACAGAGGAGGCAATGATCTTGCCTTGGCAAATTTTTATACACCCATTTATACACTCTTATACACCCAAATCTTTCTTGAATTTAGATTAAACACTTTTTACTCAGATATGCAGAAGATACCACTCTAATGGCAGAAATTGAGGAGGTACTAAAGAGCCTCTTGATGAGGGTGATATAGGAAAGCACACAAAAGTTGGCTTGAAACTCAACATTAAGAAACTAAGATCATGGCATCTGCTCCTATCACTTCCTGGCAAATAGACAGGGGAGAAATGGAAGTTGTGAGAGATGGTGACAGCAGCCAAGAAATTAAAATATGCTTACTCCTTGGGAGGAAAGTTATGGCGATGCTAGACATCCCAAAAAAGCAGAGACATCACCCTGCCAACAAAAGTGTGTATAGTCGAGGCTATGGTTTTCCCAGTTGCAATGTTTGGCTGTGAAAGTTGGACCATAAGAAAAACTGAGCACCAAAGGAATTGAGGCCTTTGAATTGTGTTGCTGGAGAAGACTCCTGTGAATCCCTAGGACTGCAAGGTGATCAAACCAGTCGGTCTTAGAGGATATCAACCCTGACTGCTTTCTAGAAGGCCAGATATGAAGATGAAACAGAACTGCTTTGCCCTCCTAATGAGAAGGAAGAACTCACTGGAGAAGACCCTTATGCTGGGAAGAATTGACGGCAAAAGAAGAAGACAACAGAAGAGAACAAGGTGGCTAGGTGGAGTCACTGAGCAGTCAGTGTGAACTTAACTGGACTCTGGGGGATGGTGAAGGATAGGAAGGCCTGGAGGAATGTTGTTCATGGGTGGCAATGGGTTAGACACGACTTCACAACTAACAACAACAATGCATATTTCAATTAACATTTCAGTTGCAGCCATACTCCTGACTGAATTCACAGACAAAACCAGAATCAATGCCCTATGAAATGAGCTTGGATGGAAGGATATGTTTCTCTTTTTGTTTTCCCTCTGCATTATCAGCAGGACCTATCTATGGTGTATCCAATCAGTAGGGTCTTGGGGATTTTGTCCACTGTCACGCATATTCTTGACTATAGAGCAAGTCTTACTGAACTGAGTGGATTTTTTTCCTGAAGAAACCTGCAAAAGAACCAGGCTGGTCTTCATTTAATGGATGCAGATAGTTGCAGAACTAAAGAAGGTCATGCATTGCAAACATAGGCAAAGGATAATAGGACTCTGAACTCAGAGATTTACTATACTGTGACCAGAGACTCTTGATTATTCTTTCTGTGTTATTCCCTATGTTATGATCTTTTAGCTTCACTGGAAGAATCTGTGTGGTGCTCTAAGGCAAGCTTCGCAAGGGTATGTTTTAATATTCAAAAATTTTATTTATTTATTTATTTATTTATTTATTTAGGGGACTTTTATGCTGCCCCATTCACCAAGCCTCAGGGCGGCTCTCAATCAAAAATGAGCCAACCAACATGAATACTTCAAATTCACTTCAGTTGGCTCACCTGAAACACCAGGAGGAAAAGGTCACATACGTGTTCACACACAACAACTTCCTCCACCATTATTCAGCATCTTTCACTTGGACCCAACTAGACCCATTCAATCACACTACAATCCCTGAAGAAACCTCTGTTACATACCTGCTCTTGATCTTCTCAAATACATTGGGAATAGATGTACATTGCAATGCCTACCCTTCTCTCCTGAAACCATCCCTTCGGGACATGGGATGCAATCATAGCAGCAGAATGGTTCCCCTTCCTTGACCTTCTTCCTAGAACCAGGATTGCAGCTCTCACTGCACACAGACAGAGGCTGTGCCTAAGACATCGGGGTGGAGGAGAATAAGAATCATGAGAAGTATTCAGGCGAATCCTTCCAGTTCTGCAATCCCTTGGTAGGTTCCCACCTCTCCAGGAGCTG